AATCATGGTGAACACGAGTCCACATCTACTAGACCATAAAACGGACTATATGGTCACCAAACATGATTTTGGAGAAAAGATAAAGATTCGCATTCCGACAAGAGATGAATGGGAAAGCAAGCGAGTAATGAACACTCAAGAGTTAACAGTCTACACAGATGCTTCCGCAACTTCAAGAGGCACAGGTATAGACATCTTCTCAGAGGAGCTAGACATCCGACGATCTTTAAGGCTATCTGATGGCTGTAATGTTCTACATGCAGATATTTACGCCATAAAGGAAGCGACTAGTTGTATACGAGAAAAAATTGCTGATAGACCAATAGGGGATATCGTGATATACTCTGACAGCTTGGGCGCTTTAAGAAGCATCACCATGCAATCAGTGAGATCGAAAACTGTGATGGAATGCCGAGAGGCACTGTCCTGGCTATGTCAAGGCGGGTCTACTCTGTGCTGGGTGCCAGGCCACAGCAGTGTGGGTAGGCAATCAGGAACCAGACAGATTCGCCAAAGAGGGGGCCAGGGGAGAGGCCGTAGATCACCCACCACTTGTGACGATCAACACACTGAAAGAAGCTATAGGAACTGCCATCAAGGCCAAGCAGCAAGAGACGTCGCAACACCGTGAGGACTGCGCTACAGCTCGAAGACTATATCCAGTGGTAGATAGCAAAAAGACAAAACAACTACTAGAACCTCGACTAGAACACAAAAAGAACTTAGTACACATAATTGTGGGTGTCGTCACTGGACACTGCCCCACGGGGGTAAATCTCGTGAGATGGAAAATTTCCAACGACGACTACTGCAGAGAATGCGAAGAGGAAGAAGAAATCATAGAGCACCTGCTGTGTCACTGTCGGGCACTGGAATACCGACGCTTTAAAACTTTAGGGCCGCTTTTTTGGAGGGACTAGAGGAAGCAGCAGAAGACAACATTAGCGACATCGGGAACTTTGCAAAGAGCTGGAAGTGTTTTAACGCAAAGAAAGAATGAGAGGAAGGTTTGGTACAACAATAAACAGGGGTATCGCAATGGGCCCAAGGCCTCCGAGAGAGAAACATGATCCCAGACCCCACCAACCTAACCTAACCTAACCTGTTGTTCATTCTTAAAAACACAGACGATGCCGAAATATGAATGATTAAAACTTTCAGCAATTTTAAAAGATCGCGAACCAGACCAAAACTGCTTTAAAACGTCGAAAGATCTAATCGGCAGGCCAAGTCCGCAGGCCGGTGCCGAATTCCGGATCCGCAGGCCGACTCAGCGTTCCGGATCCGCAGGCCGGGCCTTCTGGTGTTTGGGGGGCTATTCCCAGCAGATATTTTTATATTTTTCTTAACCATTACTCATATTTATCTTACGTATTAAGTAATTTTTAGCATGAATAAATCCACAGAGTAATTCTACTATTCTTAAAAAGAATCTATATGCGGTTCCCTGGTTGAGATTTTAGAAGCGATAAGGCATATTTTAGTAACATCTTTGTTATTATACAGACGGCTTCATGCTCATTTCGATGTTAAAATTGTAAAATCACAAATTAATATGCTTTTCAACAATGCCTATTTTAAAATACTATCTTCATTAACATCAGTAATTTTAAAAAAATTGGTGTATATATTTATATATACAGGGCGACTAAAAATTAAACTTTTATCTAACTTCATATTTCATAAAAATTAATTAAACTAGCTAAGCCTTTTAAAAAGACTCGTTATATTCAATTAATAAAATAAACCATGTTTTTTATTTAAAACCTGTAAAAATAGAGATTTTATTATTCATGAACTATTTGTGTATATATTCTAAGAGGTCCTATTAGTAACAGATGGCTTGAAAGATATTAAGGAAATATAAATAAAAACGTTAATTCTTTAATTTTACCCCTTTTCATCAAATTTCCTGAGCTTAATATTCATTTCTTTTTTGTTTGTATATCCAATGTCCTCTAAAATGAAATGCTTTTAATAAATACCTAAAACTTAAGACATTTTAAGCGTAGAGCTTTAATTAATATATTCATATTTTAGGATGGCCGCTTTAAAAAATACTAAATAATACTGAATATAAAGTAATTTCCTCTTAAAACGTTGGTATTTTCTATTTTATAAAAAATATTGACAGTTCTAAATAAATTATTTCTTCATATCTGAATGTGAATTAGAATACCAGGTGGCTCTCAAAAGTGGCTCACCCCTTTAACTTTTTTATATTTTGAGATAAAAAACGAGATTTGTTATGTTAGTATATGACATAAATCAGGATTGATTGACGTGTTCAATTGTTTTCGGTTACCGATTTCCTTTATGGTTATTGTTTTACCGGAAATAATGTGAATAAACCCGAATAAGATGTGGATGAAGACATTCCGAAATCTCTGAAGCTTGTTACACACAATAGTACGCTGAAAAAATACACGAACAGAACGAATTAACACTAAAATTAGTCTTTTTCCACTCTGTATTTAGTGCTGCCAGGCCACCGTCATTTGTTTCCCCTATTTAAGTAGGACTATTTGCATTGACTGGAATAGCGCCAACATAACTCTAATTCATAAGAAAGGCAGCAAAAAAGTCATCAGAAACTATAGAACAATAAGTCTACTACCAGCAACATAAAAGATATTCACAAAATAATAAACAACAGAATACAAAACACGCTAGACACTGCACAACCACGAGAACAAGCAGGCTTTAGGAGCGGCTTCAGCACAATTGATCACATACATACACTTAGAGAAACTATCAGCCGAACAAAATAATAAGAACTTCCACTAGCCATAGCCTTTATAGACTTTGAGAAGACTTTGGACTCGATATATCCTAAGGCAATAATAAAAGCCCTAGCGATACAAGGTATTCACAGGTCTTATATAGAAACTCTCGCCAAAATACAGGGTGTCCCAGTTCAAACGAAACAAGGCAATTTAAAGGCATTTCTGTTGTGAAAAGGACAAAAGGGTCCGTCAAAAGGACAACACATGTCAACTTTATTTTCGAAGGGGAAATAAGATGCGACTATTTTTGAAGACCATAATGCAAACCCTACGCGGGGGTGACATCCACCCTTAAAATCTTAAACGTAATGCGGAGTGGAGTAGCACATCATTTGAAAGATATTGATATTTGATTAATTGTGTACTATTGATATTTGATTAATTGTACAGGAATCGAAATGGAGTCTAAAATAAGAAATTTAGTTTAAATCAACAAGATTTTGCTTAAGGAATAATACACAAAAAGTAGTACCTTGCTTTGAAACAATTACTTGATTAAATATTCGAATTTAGCACCCCCTGCTTCCATGCACGAATGTAGGTTCTGCTCATACTCGTAGCGTTCTCGGACGTGTTGTAATATTTCGGGTGTTATCAAATTTAATTAAAGGGTGTTATCAATTATCAAATCTTTGACTGTAATACTTCTACTGTCTCCGGTTGCGTGGTGAATACTTTTCTTTCAAGATGTCCTTATAAAGAAAATCCAGCGGAGACAAATCCGGTGACCTAGCTGGCCATTCAAAAAAGGGTCCCCTTCTTCCAATCCACCGACCGGGAAATGTTTCATCAAGAGACTGCCGCACACGTACAGCATAGTGTGGGGGAGCTCCTTTTTGTTGAAACACATGTTGATTTTCGTCATAGTCATCATTCTCAATTATTTGTGTAATGCTTGGATTTATGGCATTTTTCAAAAGATCCAGATACATATTTTCATTCAGATTTCTATCCAGAAAGAACGGGCCAACTAGACAGTCGCCAAAGATTCCAGCCCACACGTTAATTTTTTGAGGGTACTGAGTATGAACCTCACGGAGTTCTCTAGGATTGGTATCAGATCAGTAGCGACAATTGTGGCGATTTACTGTTCCATTGAGGAAAAATGTACATTCATCCGAAAAGCACATATTGAAAAGAAGACGTTGAGTAGCAATGAGCATTTCACTTAGTTCTTTACAGAATTGTAATCGTGTGTCGTAATCATCTTCGTTCGATTCTTGGACCAGATGAAGTTTGTAAGCATAGAATTTGTGGAACTTTTAATGATCCCATTTAAACTTTTGTATTCTATCGGGTTTGCTCTGTGCAATTCTCTCTGTTATCCATGAGGTCTAGTATTTCCTGCGTCATCAATTCCTGCTTTTTGTTGGTTGTCGTGAATCAAATATCTTTTTCCTGGATATTTATTATTCTAGCTCTTAAATCATTTCATGTCTTTTCGACATCCTCTTCCCGTACGGGTATCCTACCATTTCTAGTTCTTTTTCGATCTTAGAACTTATCTCTTTGTTCTATTCTTTGGGGTTGTTCAACATTGCCATGTCTATTTTTTTGACGTTTTTTCTCTTTTAACTCTCAAGAATCTCTTGAGTCTAAAGTCCAGCACGACAGTCAATTTTCCAGGCATAAACAAGCTACGTACGTTCCAGGTGGCGATGGGTAGGTACTATATTGTCATATATCTTGATTTTCTCTGTATTTCCTTGATTCTTAATAGTAGACAACGGGGGTATTCTTCGCACCCTCTCCCCACTTAAGGGGTGCCCCGGACAGAGGGCCATTTTATCGGCCGACGGAATGTCTCATATAACCTCACCTCTATAATTATTTAATACACAATCTTATGCTGATTACAATGGTCGACAATAGAATTTGCGCTATTTATGGCATTATGTAATTAATTCATTATCAGTCATATTTGAAATGCTTAATTTACTTTCCTAAAACTGGTCAACTTTGTTAAGAAATTAATTTCTTATTTATTTAACCATCCGCTGTTTTCACTAGACTTCGATCTTAAAAATACTGTAATTTTATTCCTTTTGAAAATATTAAATTCTTGTAGTTCAAAGTTTCGCTACTTTATATTTTATAAAAATAAAGCATCTTTTCTATGGTCTACAAGCATTATAATAAAAATACTTTCTTGGAATTATTGTAGCAATTTTAGTAATAATGTATAATCTAAACGGGATGTAAACATTGTTGCAGGATTATAAACTTAAGCATATGGCAGAAATGCAGCAATCTGTAGTGGCTGAATTGGAGGCTCGACAGCAATTAGCAAATCAAGTGCTCCAATGGGAGGAAAACTTGGAACGATTACATTGTGAGCAGTTCCGATTACGTTGTTATATGGCCAGTCTTCAAAGTGGCGAACTTCCAAATCCTAAAGTTAGTATGATGTTCATATTTTATTTTTATCTTTGTTACAATTATTTACATACAAATTTATGCAGGGTAAGTTTAAATAAGTGCAAATATTTTTAGGGGTAGTATATTTTGACCCCAGAAACGCTATTATGAAGTTTTTTTGGAAAAAAAAACAATATGAAAATTTGAAATTTTTTGAAAAAAAATTTAGAAATGTTTTTAATTAAAAAACTTCTTGATAATATGGCAACATAGGTAGTATATTAAATTTACAAGAAAGAAAACCCAGAAAAGATCCATTGGTTCTGAAAATTTAAGCAAAAAATATTTTTTCTTGAAAATTTTCAAAATAAACTAGCTCGGTTATTTTGAACTTATTTGAAAAACGATAAAAGAAAATATGTTTCTTTTATCGAGATCTACCAGCTCTGAAAATATTTGCATTTATTTAAGATTCACCATGTATAATACTGAATAAACTGTCAACTGACCTGGCGATAACCGCGACTAAGTTCCTTCAGTTAAATCAGTTTAATTGTTTTAATTTACAATGTTTAATTTATAACAAATCTAGATCAGCATGATGGAAGCAATTGTTGGCCGTACATCAACCCATTTGCTTTATATCGATTTGGCCGATATATTTTGATTATATTTTACAATGCTTTTTTTTCAAATTCATATAAACCCAAATCGGCCTTAATTTTGTTTCTTGATAATATTTGTCATCTAAAATATTTTATTTTTAATATTGTTTTTATATTTATTTATAATATTATTAATTCCATTTCCTTATTTAAATTATTTTATTCATTCCAGATAGTCCTATAGTTTGATTAACGCCATATTTTTGATGTTGTGAAAGTAAATTTTTGTAAGTAAAATAAAATTTTGTGCTTCTAGTCCGGTCGAGTTTTTTTAGGAGGCCTTTTTTATGAACCTAAATAATTTTTAAGGTGTTAACGTTGAAATTAAGCGTGGAAGTCACTTCGACAATTTTGGCTTTTTGTCGCTGCATTAAATTATACCAGCAGAAAATAAAATAAAGGTTTAAATAAAAATAAATTTAAGAAAATATTTTTTTTTAAGTTATTTTTTATACAAGACGATAAAATACTATTTTATCGTCGTGTATAAAACAATATTTTTTCCATAGCTAGTTGCGTTTTAAAAAATATTTAGAAATTATTGTTTCAAGGAATTTATTACGAGTAGAAAAAATATTGTGTTGGGTTGGCGTTGGTTTCTATGTAACTAGCGTGTACCAGCGACTTCGTTCGCGTCGAATTAATCATTTGTAATGGTGATGATAAAGCAAAGCAAGAATTTCCATTAACATACAAAATGGATAAATTTTTTTCACATTTATGTCAGCATGAGAACAAACAGTACGGCGATATTATTATACAGGGTTGTTCACCACATACGACACGGAATATTGTAGTTAAATGATTAGATTTTTACACATTTTAAGTATTGGGTTCGTTGAAGGACTATTAGAGCTACAATTTAAAAATATTTTTACAAGATACAGAGTGTCCCAAATAAATAAAAAATATCAAAGTTGTATTTTTTTAAATGGAATACCCTGTATATTATTACATTTTTAGTTTCTACGATTAAAATAAAGGTAAATTTGATTAAGGTTTACCGCACTTTAATCTTACCGTTTTTGAAATATTTTCAATTTTGTGAAATTGCAGTCAAAATTTTAAGGCTTCATTTCTCCAAGGGTATCAAAGTTTTTAATACTAAATATTTACTGAAGTTTATTTATTGATCAGTTATTGTGTTGCAATAGTAAAAATTATATTACCTTATACAGAGTGTCTAAAATTTTATTTTAAATAATTACTAGCTTTAAACGGCAATAACTTGTTTAATTTAAATGGAACACCCTGTATATTTTATGAGAACCAGATGCACAATATAATTGTCTATCAAATTGTACTATGCCATTTTTTACTTATCTCTTCAAGTTTCCGTAGAAAATGCATTTTCTTGTAATTTAAAACTCATTTATCAATATACCCATGGAATACTGACATTTTAGATTATTTTTAAAGATGAACCAAATTTTTTAAAGAGTACAGATACTAATATTGTCGATATAGTTGTTTATTTCATTAAGAAATAAAAAAAAGGTTTAAATATTTGTTAATGAGGACCAATTAATATGATTCCAGTATTCAAACTACATTAATTGACTGTTTGCGTTGATTAATAATAATTGCTCCAAATACTAAAAAACTGAATTTTGTACCTATGTGTATTAGACAGTGTGGTAAAAAGTAACACCTTAAAAATGATATTTCATTTTTTGACAAATGCTTATTTATAACAACAGAGACATTCATTTTCATAACTTATTATTATATTGATTTCTGAATCAAATCCACATTTATTTAGAATAATTTATTAACGAACATATCTAAGTATGTAATTAATTAGTATTTGGGCGGAAATAATGGTGGTATATTTAATTAATGGTATACTCTTTTATAAAGATTTAAATAGTTTTCTTTTTGCATACAAATGGTCTAGCAATATTATCATTTTGCTAAAAACGATAATATTACTAGCCCGTACATTTTGTACATTTGTTGCTTTAAAAACAATCTAAAATGTCAATATTCCATGGGTATAATGAGGTCTAAATTATAAGTAATGCATTAAATAAACGAGGTCTAAATTATAAGTAAATGCATTTTCTATGAACACTTGAAGGCATAGGTAAAAGTGGTATAATACAATTTGATAGACAATTAAACTGTGCATCTGATTTTCCCTGTACACGGTGTTCCATTTAAATTAAAGAAGTTATTGCCGTTTAAAGCTAGAAATAATTTAAAATAAATTTTTAGACACTCTGTATGAGGTAGTATTATTTTTATTATTGCAACACAATAACTGAGCAATATATAGACTTCGGTATATAGATAAAACGGTAAGATTAAAGTGCGGTAAACCTTAATCAAATTTACCTTTATTTTAATCGTAGAAACTAAAAATGTAATAATATACAGGGTGTTCCATTTAAAAAAATACAACTTTGATATTTTTTTTTTTATTTGGGACACTCTGTATCTTGTAAAAATATGTTTAAATTGTAGATCTAATAGTCCTTCAACGAACCCAAAACTTATAATTTGTAAAAATCTAATCGTTTAGCTACAATACTCCGTGTGGTATGTGGTGAACAACCCTGTATAACTTGGTAATATTTGAGAGGTTTCATCTCGTTGGAATTTGACTTCCGAAAAATCCGTTTGCCAAAAATAAGCTTTTTAAGTCAAGCAGTTTAAGCAGAATCGTGGTTAAGAAATTACTTAAAAATATTTAAAAAACCAAATAAATTATGCTTGCCCAAGCGTTTTCTCGAAAGACTAACCGTTTTTTAAATAACAAATATTGTAATATTTGAGGGGCGTTTTCACCCTCTTGGAATATGAGATTCGAGAAACCCCTCCTTATCGAACCTCTACACCCCACAGTCAATCCGCTTGCCAAAAATCAGCTTTAAACGTCAAGCACTTTAAGCAGAATCGTGATGACTCAATGGTCATATTTTATTGTACAAATTTGTGAATTTTTGCACCCTGTACAAATTTATGAAAAATCTTAAAATATGTAAAACAACAAAATAAAATATACGTGTTTAAGAGTTTTTCCAAAAAACTCACCGGTTTTTAAATAAAAAATATTTTGATATTTGAGGGATAGTTTCACCCCCTTAGAATTCGAGTTTCGAAAAATCCCTTCTTATCGAACTTCTACACCCTAAAGTCAATCTGTTTTCCAAAAATCAGCTTTTTTACGTCAAGCGCTTTAAGCAGGATCGTGATTAATCAATGACCAGATTTTTCGAAACACCCTGTATACATTTTTAAAAAATCTTAAAATATGTAAAAAAACAAAATAAAATATACGTGTTTAAGCGTTTTTTCGGAAACTTGGCCGTTTTTTAAATAAAAAATATTGTAATATTTGAGGGGTGGTTTCACCCACTTGGAACTGGAATTTCGAAAAATCCCTTCATATCGAACCTCTACACCCTAGAATCAACCTGTATGCCAAAATTGAGCTTCTTACGTTGAGTGGTTTGAACAGGATCGTGATTAATCAGTATGTCAGTCACTTAAGGATTTTATATATTAGTATAGATTTGACAAATAAATAAAGCTGTCTCTTTAGTTTTCAGTTTTGATTTCGGATTTTCAGATATTCAGGGGGGGACAAACGCCATATCCAAAATACTTCCTTTTAAATCCCGAATAACCTATGAAAAGGAATACAAAAATTTTCAAAAATGGAATCAATTAAACAACGTGCGAGAAGAAATAAAGTTTTTAACCTATCCTCGCTGTTAAAGTATCATTTAAGGTACCCTTGCGGTTAAAGTACTATTATATCTACTATTTTTGATAGATATAAGGCAATTTTAACAGTTGCTATGGAAAAAAAATTCTAAGCGACCGACGCACGGTGGATCGAGGTATAGGAAAATAGGGACATTGGCTCTAACATTGCAATGAAATGTCCGATTTTAATAGTTTTGACCAATTCGTATAGAGAACACCTTACAATATTTGAATTTATTATGAAATTTGACATTTGCTAAAAATCTAAGATGGCGGACATTATTGTAAATACAGACACCTATTATTATTATAGTTTATGAGCAAAAGCAAGGAACACCTTCGATTTTGAGAATTGTGGGCAGTTTAAAGAAAGAATAGTACTCCATATAATTTAAAATTATTATAAAATTGAACATTTAATAAAACTCAAAATGGTTGACAAATAATACATACAATACATATACAGGTGGAGACTTAATAATGTCAATAATTATCCTCGCTAAAGTTGTGTTTAAAAAGTTTGATATTTAAGAGTTTTGAGCATGCAGACTTGAATATCAAATATCAATATTAGAGCTGTTGTCAGACTTCCCAGTTTGCCGCTACACATAGCAACTTTAATAAAACTTATAAATTCAAGATGACATTCGCCTACTAGAGTGCCATTTACCTATTTCTTTTTTTAAGAACAGACATTTTGATAATATATCGCATCTAATTGGTAAAAAGGGTCGCCAAAAATCGTGTCCCAACCCCTGCCGAATGATCTTTTTTGGATTCTTTCTTGACTGTTCATTGTTTAATTGTATCCCAAGAAGTCATTTTACTATCCACTTTACAGAAAATAGATATACATTTTTGTTTCTATTTTTAAATCACAACCAAAGTTGATGTAAAATCGGCCTTGTTTAAACGTTTTTTTATTTTCTACTAAAATCGTTGTCCCGCTTTCAACGTGGTAGTAGCAAAAAGCGTATTATAATGTTTTACTAGAAGACCAATATGTCTTAAAACAAAAAGTGTTGTAAAACGCTAGAAATTTCGAACTTTTTTAAACAGCCAATGTCCACTCTTTAGCATTGAGTCGTTCCAGTGTGCGACGGATAGAACTAGTGGAGCTCTAAATTCACCGCATTCAAATTGTGTTTCGAAAATGCACACATTCCGAGATATTTACTTTGGAACATTTTGATTGTTGATTTTCTGAATATACCCCTTTAAAAAATCGATTTTTATGTTTATTAACTTTTCTCATTTTTTTCCATCCATTTGCTCTATCCGTAGAGGCCTCACTAGTCGTTTAGCTACTTACCGTTTTTATACCGAGAGAAAACATCTTATTTCTATTAACACCTTTATTTTATTTTTCTGCTGGTATAATTTAATGTAGCCACCAAACGCCAAAATTTTCGAAGTGACTTCCACACTTAATTTCAACCTTAACACCTTAAAAATTATTTAGAGTCATAAAAAATAGGCCGCCTTCTAAAACCCACGAATTGTGGTAGCTAGACCGGACTATTATTTTCAAAAACCATTTACGAAAAGATTTTTTCGCAGATTTTAAAAACCCAAACCTAGATTTTTTTTCAAATTTTCTTTTAAAAGCTCCGTTACGGTGTATTAAATCCCTGCCTTCTTTACAGTCTTTACTGACCCACGTTTCGAGAGCAACGAAGAACACCCTTAATAAATTAGGAGTGTTTACTGTATCCTCGTTCCACGCTTTTATTTGCGCTCGGAGCCCATCCCTCCTAAATAATCTCCTGGCAGGAAGGGGAGCCACTAAGAGGCGACCTCCTCTCCTCTCCAGATCAAACAGCGGCTCGAGTAGAAGGTCGTTACAGGTAAATATTTTTTTCTTTTTTTATTTACGAATATTTGTTGTTCGTTTAATTATACTATGGCAGTTATTGTCTGCAACATATATGGGAGTTTTTTTATTAATTCATTTAGAGGGTGGTAGGAATTACAATCGGGAAAATTCAGCAATGTACCGGGTGCGTCTCAAAAGTGGCTCACCCCCTATAACTTTTTTATTTTTTCAGATAAAAAAACGACATTTGGTATGTTAGTATATATAACATAAATTAGGATTGATTGACGTATTCAATTGTTTTTGGTCACTTCCTGTTTCACCGGAAATGATTACAACTTTTGATTTTTAAATCGCACCCCTGGTATATTTTTACTTTATTCAATAGAAAATTACACTCTGAATAGAATGATATCTCATATGTCAGCTTTTGACATTTTGGCTTAAAAAAATATTGCATTTTAAATTTCAATCTAGAGTGCCATGGCTGTGTTAAAAACAATAATTTTTATTCAAGGAGTCTTGGAAAAATACGTTTCATCATCTCATGTTTTTCGTGTCTTGTCCTGGCCGGTTAAAAGATGCCCAAATCGTATTTTTAATCTTGTCTCATGTTTTTCAAATAGAACAAGAGTGGCTCATTAGTATATTTGGAAAATGCATTTTTTTACAAATAATTTGGTACCACACACTTAGTATTTTGAGTCAAATTGTCATTATGAGCAGCATGTTACAATTTCAACCATATGCGAAAATTTCAAAAGTTGATATATGATATGTCATTCTATTCAGATTGTCATTTTCTATCGAATAAAGTTAAAAAATACAGGGAGTGTCATTTAAAAATCAAAAGTAGTAGTCATTTCCGGTGAAACAGGAAGTGACCAAAATCAACTGAATACGTCAATCATTCAAACCAAACCAAACATATCAAATCTCGATATTTTTTATCTACAAAAATAAGAACGTCATAAGGGTGAGCCACTTTTGAGACGCACCCGGTATAGTGCAGCTAAAAATAAGTAAAAAGTTCATATACATTTTTCTCCTAAAGTGCTTCGTTTCGGAGTTACGGTGTGTGAAGTGTGTGAAGTAGTTTAATTTTTATTTCGTTCTTTTCCAAATAAATTCTGAACTAACGTTGATATCTGAATGAAAATTGGCGTTTTTTGATATGAGAAATTCGATTTCGATGACGGTATAACTCCAACTTGTAGAGGGTGCTATCTACATGGTTTCTGTGCCTGTAGTAAAAAGTTTCTGCACTGTCTCAAAAATTTCTCTTCATATTGGCTACAGGCAACTATTCTTGAGATATATGAAATCGCAACAATAACTTTCCAAAATAAAGTTATACCTTTGCAATTTGCTTGAAAACAAATCTAGATACTTTGTCACAGAAATAAATATAAAAAATTAAAAAGTTATTTTTTGTAAATTGCCACTGAGCAGAATCCAAACGGAAACTAGGAAACTAGCTATTTATGCCTATTTACTTGCAGACAAATTTGAGTAACAAACAAAAAATATTTAAAGTTTAAGTTTCTTTTTGTATACCTCGCCTCGTCATCAGTGTCGTCATCAAACAAAAAAAACAATAAAGGAAAATTCTAAATGAAAAAACAAAACAATCGGAATAAAACCACATCAAAAACGGCTGGGGAATGACAATCAAAATATTTGTGTCTGTTTTTTTTGTGGTTAATAATTGTATCCGTTTTTAATCTTTCGATAATTACTAAATTAATTTTTATGTCAATTTTTAGTAAATGACGTCTAGAGATTGACCTCGCAAAATTTATCATCGATTGTCATTTCCAGCTATCTTTGACGCCGTTTTTTTTATACGGTACTTCAAAAATACTTAGTAATTTAGCACAGACATATCTATTAAAACCGATGACGTTCTAGTCTGCTGTACTTAAATTCAAATTTCAAATTAACAGTAATTAGGTATCTGATAGCAATTACCCCTAAAAAAACTTTGAAAAAATGAAACCAAAAAACTTTAAATGTCTACATATGAATTTTGTTACTTGACTCTCAAGACATAAAACAAATATTAATTTTCATATTTTTTTTGTTTAAGATGATAATTCAATAATTAATATTAGTTTAGCAAATACATCCCTATAATGAAAATTTCGTTATAATATTAATTTCCTGAAGCTTTCGTTACATGTATACCTTAAAATACTGCTGATTATTGTGAACATTATAACAGTGATTTTCCTTTAACTAACATGATCAATATTAATCACGACGGGGATTATAAATCTCATACACTAGCTATTAAGTATTTACAGCTTTTATTGTAATCTACGTTGAATGCGTAGAAATTTATCAACCTAATTTTATCAACCAACCGGTACTTATCAACCTTTTGTTATCTACATTTCATTGACCAGATTTCTTTGTCATTTAGCATTTGCCAATTGGTCATTTGGCCATTATTGACAATAAATTCTTGAAATGTATAAAACTTTTAATTATTCTTAATAATTTCCCACAAGAATTTCCATTAAATTGTTTTATTAAATATATATTTTAATACCTATGTCCCAACCAAAAAAATTGTTAAATATAAATTATTTAGAGTCATTTTTCTTTTGAGCAACGCATCGAATATTTTATACTTCATTTTCAAAATCATTATATTGTATTTTATCAATAGGAATTTATAGAATAGTTTATTATTTACGTAGTTTCTATCTTGTGTTTTGAGTGCATATAATTTTAGTCCACATAACAGTTGCGCTTAATGAGGAATAATTATGAAAAGTTGATATCAATTTTCTAAAGTCATAATGTTAAGGGATATGATGGTCTTTTCTTTGGTGACACAAAATTAAATCTTAACTACTGTTAACTACTGATTCCAATGTTAAACCCCATAATCAGTATATATCCCTGTAATTCATGGGTGCGTCTCAACCCCACAGTCCCTACGCGTTAATGCGTTAATGCGTCGATGCGATGCGTAGCGGAGCGGTCCGGTGAGAAGTTGGTTTTTGGACGATCCATTAAAGGAAATATCGCTAATACGTTGTGTCACAATGGGCACAATGAATACGGCCAATACGCGCAGTAAGATGAACTGAATAAAGAACGAAGAAAAAGTATATTTCCAAGCGCACGAATTCTAGCGTTGGATTAAGTAATTGTGTAATAAATACTTCGCATTTTTACTGTCTCCGACTTACTAGCTCGCCATAGGCTTGGTGCATTTCAGTTGGTTTCAACAAATTTCGACCGCAGCGCTTCAACGGAAAAAATCTGAAATTATCAATATATAGTTCACGCGGCCGTCATGTTGATCGCATTAAAATAATATTGAAATCGTGGTTTTGTCATAATATTTAAGTATTTTGGTATCTTGCTAGTGCAATTATTGAAACTATAAAACACTCAGATACGAGGTTTGTGTGACATAACGCTCTTTCGGGTAGTAAAAAAAAGTAAAAAAAAAATCGAACTAGGTGTCGTGTTGTGTTGTGACAATTTCTAATGTTAATAGAATTGCCGAAAAACGCATAAAGGAGAGCGTAATTAAGGCGTTGTTAGGTGTAATAACATTCAATAACTCAATTTTTTCGGATATTCAACTCCCCGAAACAACATTTTAAAGCTTCATATAGTTTCTCACACCGCACCGGTTTGATCAAAAGCAAAAATAAATTCAAGCAGTTTGACAAAACAAGTGAGTAAACAAAGTGCTCGTTGCATAATCACAAAATTAAATAGACATACTATGAGAGGATAAAATATAATTTGCAATATTAATGGTATACTTTTTTTAATCAACTAGTGATTAAATGTTTTATGTCCATCTTCTAAAATTATAATTATGTAACTTTAAAAAATGTTGTTATAGCCGAAATAGCCCCAACTATGTCTCACTAGCAAAACAGGTGATAAAACTATGCTCGCTACCGTAGTTGAACTCATCTAAAAAGTTTTTTTTTAACTGGAATAATAAATTATAATACAAGTTAGACCTTCTGAAGGTATCAAAATATTTACTTCTTTATTTTTATTTTTAGAATGTTTACAAATTATACTCCCTATCACTTTTAGAATAATTAAATAATACATTTTTCGTATACTCGCTATTTAAACCTGTGTATTTGTATATATCGATTGTTTACGATATTCTCCGATGGTGGCAGCACCGGCGGAGAACGCACCAACCCTATAGGGATTGAATCCGAGACATGTAAACAGTGACCCTAGGTTTTTGCTTGCCAGTGGGGTATATTTAAATTTGTATAATTAAATAGCCAAGTAATCGAAATCAAGAATTGTTTTTGGACCATTGGCGTGGCAACCACTTTTTATTATACGATATTTCCTATTTTGAAAAACAAGTTACTTGCAAATATAGATTAATTTATTTGAGAAGTAAAAAAGACGTTAAATGCTATTATACGGGAGCTATTATTATTATTTAAAGAAAAAAAATATTTTTAATGGACAAAGAATTAGTACTTATTTAGTTTAATTAACTATTATTATTAATTAATTATTTAAATTAATTATTTTTAATTAATTATTTAATTAGTAAAGAAGAAAAAAATTATATTCTTCTTTATTTAGATAACATTTTTTCAAACAATAAATTCACTATTTTGCATTTCATCGATAACACTACACCAAGCTTACAAGAAATAAAATTTGTCACCAGAAAGATCAAACGAAGTTGATATAAAAGGTATTTCAAAATATGACATAGCTGCTTCCGTCTGTAATGTATTCATTACAGAAATTTACATTCAAAAATACTATTTCACTTTTTTATAGTCTTTTATTCTAAGAGTAGGACAAAGTATTTTAATAAATTTTTAAATGGCCCTTTTACTTACTGACTGGTATGTGTTATTTTTCTGAAAAATCGTTCTAGTTAAGATATGTTTACACAAGAATAAAATCGAAAAAAACGATTTCTTCTGATTAATGAATGATTTGGCCTACATAAACAAGTTTTATGAACTAAGCAATCACTTTTTATGATACGATTTTTTCAATTATATT